GTTTGTTTTGAGCCCAAGGGCAAAGATTCGCCCTCGCCAGTACAAGTTGGTTGCGGAGTTTACACCGGTTGGGTTAGATCCAACCGACACCACACAATGGCGACAGACAGAACTAGATCTTGATCTTGAGGAAGGGGCAATTGTGGATGCTCGCTGGATTAAGCCAATTCACAAGCGGTACCAAGGCCAACGTTTTGCTCACCTATTGGTTACGCTCTCCTCTCCGGAAGCAGCCAACAAGGTTATCCGAGCAGGTCTGGTACTAGCGGGCCGCCATGTAAGCGTAAGGAAGAACCTGGCAGAACCATTGAGGTGCTCCAAATGCCAGCGCTACGATGCAGGGCACCTGGCCAAGGAGTGCCCTCAGGACCATGATACGTGCGGAACATGTGCGCACACATAGAACAGCAGATTGTAAGATACAAGATGTGCAGCAGTATCACTGTGTGAACTGCAATAAGAAGAGTCATGCCGCATGGGACCGGGAGTGTCCTGTCTTTCTAGACCATCTGAGCAAGTTGAACGCCCGCTGCCCAGAGAACCACCTTCAATTCTACCCTACAGGGGACCTGGACTCATGGGTCCCAAAGCTGCATGACAGAGCTGTCTCTGCCACGTGGGTTCAGTTGAACGATGTAATTGAGGAGGAGATTGGGAAAGGCCGAAAGGCACCCTCGCAACGTGCTAGGGCGCAGAAAGGGCGGGCTCGCATGATGCAGACGCAGCTCCCATTCGGGTCACGAAGGCCCCGGGTTGACGATGACTCGGAGGAGGCTTGATATAGATTATGATGGCGCACTGACAGACAATACTACTAATTCCTTTTCTTTCAGACTTGGCAGCATGATAAACCCAACGTTGACAGCAAGCCGCGCATACCCAACTCAACATGAAGGCAGACGAGCTCTTCGGAGGCATCCCTTTACAGCAGAGAGACAAGCACCGGTCCACATCGCACTGAGCATCAGGAAAATGTCACGGACTTGGACCCATACTTGGGCCCAAGTTCATATACTTGGCCCCAAGTCCGTGCACTTGGCCCCAAGTACACAGACTTGACCCAAGTCTATATACTTGGGGTACTTGGGGTACTTGGACCACAACTTGGACTTTACATGTTGACTTCAGTATACTCAGGCCTCAATTTGAGCAATTGGTGTTCTATCAGTCACACATCTTGTATACTTCTTATGTAATAATATCTATCATAGACATCCATACACTAGTTGTAAACCAGTCTGTTTTAAGGCTGTAGAAGCAGCTTTATAGTCTATTAGAAGAAGGGCAATAACATGTGATAGAAGACTTTAAGTTGTTACAATGTGCTTGTTTCAGTAGTGATACAGAGGTACAATATCCAGATAATGCTCAAGAATAGTGGTATCAGTGGTGGATGTCCAAGTTCTGCTATGGTACAGGAGAGGATGGTGAAGAATTTCTCTTGAGTCCAGCAAAGCGCGCTATATATGGCTGCTATTCTGTGCTATAGTGTGAGC